CACAACAGCAAGAACACAAAGGGAAACCTTTACAACGAATGTAAAAGATGCACGCCCACTTATTTAAGAGCACAGCACCCATTCTAATGCAAAACGCTGCCCTCACTGACAGCAGTTTAAACTAGGAAGGGTTTTCTTTAACATATAGACCCACTCTCTGGGGAGAACCCCAAAGGCCAAAGATGACTCTTAAAAAAAGATGATTTGAGTAGAAAGCTCCGTTCCACTCCTCCCAAAGGCAAATCCATCAATAATCACTGAACTTGGGGTTCTACTATACTCTTTCATTTGGCCAACAGCTGCTGCAGCAACATTTCTGCCTCTTTACAAAGTAATCATACAGCAGAATAGCCTGCCAGCTTAGGCATGGCAGGTTCTCCCGCTGGTCTTCCTTGCCGTCTACCCACTGTGGATGCTGAGAATCCTAGATTCTTAGTTCCTGGGCCTCACTTCCAGTCTGGTTACGGATTTATAAGCCAGAGCTGGTCAAGGGAAACCTGTTGCAAGTCTGCTCTGGGTTTCTGGGAAAGGTTTTCTTCCTCAATAAAAAAGACCTCTTTCTGCCTTTGAACGTGTTGTGTGAGGATATGTCTGTTGCCTGGAGGTTATTTTGTAGCCACAAGGGGACACACATGAAAACTAAAGCCAAATCACCAAAAATAGAAGATGGAAGGACCCCATCACTGCTTTGTCGGAAGATAAAACCCAAGGCCTGCCAACTCCGGACTTCTTTTTTATGTTAGATCATAAATCCTTATTGTTTAAGTCACTTTAATTTTGGTTTTCTTTTACCTGTAGCTGAAAACAGTCTAACAGATACGCAATTTTCTCCACATAGTCTAGATTTTGCAAAAAAAAACACCAAATCTAAAGTGTTTCCTGAATGATATAGTATTCATCATAATTACAGCAGACAAAGACTTGTATTTCTCAATCTTTTTTTTTCCTGAATTAAGTCCCAGTTAACAGCAAGATTTAGTTATAATAAAATGATGACTTAAGGGACATTTAAACTGACATTATGGGACTGTCTTTATAAACCGTAATACTTCGAAAGATAAAACTCATGGTAATCTTGTGCAGTTAAACATTAATATCTTGCGATTCCTGGACCTCCCCGGTGATTTACAGTGATTACAGTGAATACTGCTAACAAATACTCTGGTGTAATGCATTTCGACAGAACTGTGTGAGAAGGACTGTATCAACTTACTTCCAAATGAAGCAGCCAGACATTTGAGCTGGAAATCTTTCAATTATTTTGTGACAAAGAAATTGAAGAAGGTTCTATTTCAAACATCAGTCGATGTGTACTGCTCAATTTGGGTCTGTTTGCCCTGAGCACTGACTTACCAGGCTGGTCTAGAAATACGCAGGGCACCTCTTGTGTATAGAGCTACATCCAAATAGCCCTGATCACTTCAGGTGAGTTAGCAAGACTCCTAACCCTCACATCCTTCTTTAAGACAGATACCACCTAGCTGTACCAACACAAAGCACCCAGAGCAGGGAAAAGTAGAAGTTATATTTGACTTAAATAAAACAGAACAGAAATTCTTTAAGATGTACAATGAGCAGAGTCAGGGTTAGGTGTTTGCCCAGTTTACCTATTAACAGAACTTACTTCATCCTTTTTATAATTAAAGTTAGATAATAACTGGTTATGGTAGAAGGAGGGCAACAGTGGCTAACTACATAGTACAGGATGAGTGGAAAGTGTGGAGTTTACTTTTTGTTTTGTAAGGAATGGGCAGTGAACATTTCAATCTCTTCCTTATTTGGTAAAAGAAGGTGAGCTGAAACTCCTCCGATTACATATGAAAGAAATCTCAACACAAACCAACTTAAGCTAAAAAAGGAACTCTACTGGGTCAGGTATTTGAAGAGGCTAGAGTGGGTTCCTGTTAAGTGTGATTCAAGAATGCATTCAGTATGATTTGGACTTGGTTTCTCTGTCAGGTTTGTTTTCAGGCTCCTCATGTAGCCTCCCCTAGCTTCTGGCTCACATCTTCCTCATTACTAACAAGACCAGGAGACAACAGCCATGCCTTCCCTTCAATGATTCCAGAAAGTCATCTTGCATTTTATTTCCTTTGACTGGCTCTCTGTCCGTTCCTGAATCATAGTGACCGGAGCAAAACAGTTCCAGTGAGCTAGGAGTTAGAAGTGAAGATTTCTGCACTGAACTACAGGGACTGAGAATAAAGGAGGGTGTTGTTCATCAGAATACAATTGTGAATTTATTACTAAGCAGAGAGAGAATAGTTGCCGGGTAGCAAAGACAAAGATGTCCACTATCATCATTTTGTTTTTAACTAGACTTGAAATAAAACTAAACTGACATACATTCTCTGGATACACAAAGGATCGGTCATTTAGTTGTCAAGTGACAGAAATGACTTTGTTTGAGGTTGACTGAAATTACTCATCATTCCCAAATCTTTCAATGTAAAACTAAATGCAAAGTATATTTTATACATATTACTTAATATATTTACTCTCTTTCAATCAAACAGCAAATTGAGTATTTGATGTGGTGAAGCCTACCATGACCTATCATGAAATATTTCTCATAGAAATAGAGAAGAAAAGACATGACTCCAGATACCAAATTAACCTAACTGGGGAGAAAAGATGTACTTATGTGACGTGGTATTGACCAATGGAATGGGAGATTCAGCAATGTAAAATTGTGTGTTCTTGCTATGGAAAAAGCAGCATGGATATAGAAAACTTTAAAGAGGTTTGAGGTGGAATCCTCAAGGAATTTTAAGATTTAATTAGATGAGGTCAGAAGATAATCTTGGTGGAAGTAACAACAGCACCCCTCAAAAGAAAAAAAAACAGTGAATAAAATAAAATTGATTTTAACGGGACCACAAAGTTCTATGTCAGGAAATCATGGAGGTCCTCAGAACCATATAAAGAAGGATTGACAGAGTAAGGTAACAAACAATGTGGATAATGGAATCACATAGACCAGAGCTCAAATCTCAGTTTTGCCATTTACTAGGTATGTGACCTTGGACCAATTACTGAACTTCTTTGTGCTGTAGTTGCTTCATCTGTTAATGAAGGTTAAGAAAACCCATTTGAAAAGACTGAGAGGACTAAGCAAGGCCATGCATTTGAATTTCGCATCGCCCCTGGCCTGTGAGGTACATGTAGTAGTCGCCAGTTGTTATTATCATTCCTATGTGACTTAATGTGATAAAAAAGCAAAGATCCTGTGTTGGGCTCTCTCAGGAAGAAACAAACACTGTCTTGCTCAATTCCTTCAAGTAACATGGAATTGTTTGTTTTTAGGAGGAAACATAGAACTAAAGACAATGCACGACAAGGTTTCAAAAGAACCCAGAGACCATCAGAGAACAGAAACCATAGTCGACCTGGCTTCACAGTAACCAGATCACCACACCTGAGTGTGGTTCAGGCTCCAGGGCTCTAAAGAGGCAACAGCTAATTGTGCTTCCTTCTCATAACAATCTAGTCACGTTGTCTGATGAATCTTTTTATGAAGATTCTCTGCTTCTCTCTACTTTTGCTCCTTCCTCCACTGAGCTGACTCTTCTCACATGGCAAGTCAAATCCTGAAAGAAAAGGTTAGTTCTGAGTCCTTCCTTGGATAAAACATTCACCCCTTCACCTCTTCATCTGTGAGTCTGTATATTGGATATCCCTAGACCAGATGCCCATCTCGTTAGCAGCTGCCAGTTAACAGAGCAGAGTTTGGAGAAAAGGCAGTTGTAGCATGTTGCAATCTGCTGAAGGAAACCTGTAGATTGGGACTGTGCATAGAAATTGGGGTGGAAGACTTAATAGATTGTATGAGATGTGGCCTATCCAGGGCACAGCAATTCAAAACAATTATCTAAGATATTAATAATAAAAGCCATCTTTAAAACAATTATTAAGGTATCAACATATCAAATGCATCCAGCAAAAAGCTGTTACATTTATCCTTGTATGATGTGTAAAGACCTGATCTAAGACTCCAGGAGTGAAAATGGAGAGGACAAGTTCACCAAAAATATCTAAACAAAACTCATATGACTGATAACTGACCAGTTATGTGGTAAATGGCGCTTTAGTAGAGTGGTTAAGAGCATATACTCAATGCTTGATCCAGCAATCCCACTCCTGGGTATATACCTAGAGAAAACTCTAATTTGAAAAGATACACGCACCCCAATGTTCATAGCAGCATTATTTACAATAGCCAAGACATGGAAACAACCTAAAAGTCCACTGACAGATGAATGGAGATACACACACACACACATATATACACATACACCCACACACACATATATATTAAACAGAATATTAATCAGCCATAAAAAATGAAATAATGCCATTTGCAGCAACATGGATGGACCTAGAGATTATCATACTAACTGAAGTAATGCAGACAGAGAAATATAAATATCATATGATATCACTTATATGTGGAATCTAAAAAAATGATATAAATGAACTTATTTACAAAACAGAAATAGACTCACAGACATAGAAAACAAACTTATGATTACCCAAGGGGAAAGGAGGAGGGATAAATTAGGAGTTTGGGATTAGCAAATACACACTACTATATATAAAATAAACAGCAAGAATTTACTGTACAGCACAAAGAACTGTATTCAGTATCTTGTAATAACCTATCATGGAAAAGAAGCCTGAAAAAGAATATACGTGTGTGTATGTAAGTATGTATATATGTATATATAATACGTATGTGTGTGTGTGTGTGTGTGTGTGTATGACTGAATCACTTTGCTGTTCACCTGAAACTAACACAACATTGTAAATCGACTATACTTCAATAAAAAGATTAGAAAAAAAGAGAATATACTCTGCTTTGAGAGTCTGAACAACATTGTTTAATGCTTGGATTTTGTCATTTATTAACCGTGTGACACTAAGAGTTGTTTATCCACTCTGAATGTCAGTTTCTTTGCCTATAAAATAGGGCTGCTCACCACAGCAGCTGCACAGTGTTGGTGTGCAAAGCAGATGAAATCACGCACTTGAAATGCTAAGCACAGAGTGTCATTTAGGGCTCGACTCACGTTGCCTGCTTCCATTAACTCCAAGGGATTTAGATGTAATCCATGAAAAGAGGCTCAGAAGGGAAAGTGATCCCAATGCAGCAGAGACTGGGTTCTGCTTTGGATGTGTTGGGTAGTTTGTGGTACAAAAGAGTCTCCAGCTGGAAAGGCCAGAAGAGCTCTGGACACACGGAAGGTCATCAACTTGGAAGAAGACAAGAGACAGAACAAGAGAATGGCATTGGGGAGGCAAAGAGGACGATGTTGGAAGAGCACAGGTAAGCACTCTGGAGATACAGCAGGGAGATCAGAGAGAAGAGAAGTGCCCCCTCCCTCAGTTAGAGGTTGAAGGTGGGATGTGCCAGAAACAAGAATAAAGGGACTCCCTGAGAGAGGGTCCCAAGATTCATTTATGGGAATGTGCAATTTAAATAATTTGTAGTATGTTTAAAAACATGTGTTTATTGTTGGCCTTTTATCTCACAGCAAGAATATAATGCTCTATAATTAACTGGAAAGTTGAATAAAAATTATTTTAATTTATATAAGGTGTTCTGTGAACAAAATAATTCATGCAGAAGTAATATTCCTTAAGGACTACATCACACATGAGAATATTTAGCAGGTTATAATACAATGACAGTTTTTTTGTGTGTGTGTGTGTATATATATACATATGTATATATATATATATTTATCGGAGTATAGTCAGTTTACAGTGTTGTAATGGCACATATTTTAAATTTGCTTACTTCTGTAGGTTGCATCATTTCATACTGTAACAGAAAATGGAATTCATTCTCATTGGAATCTATCAGTAACTCAGTAATATTTGCTAAAGATCACTGCCTTCCACCTAGCTTCTTAAGCCATAAATTTAGAATTTCCTTTATTTATTTTAGTGGTGATACCCAACACACACAGACACACACACACACTCACAATCAAGCACCAAGACCTATTGTTTCTATAGCTTAATTATCTGCCAGAACTGTCCACATATCTACATGGCCACTGCCATGGCCCTAGTCCAAGTTGCCATCTTGCCTTATCAGGACAACTGTATGGCCTATAAGCCAGTATTGTCACTTCCACTCCTGTTCTTCTCTGTTCTATTATCTAGAGACATTTGTGTTGTAAAAACACAAATATAATCACAGATGTCCACTGATTAAAACCCAAAAGTTGCTTCCTCTAGGCCTTAGGTGAAATCAAATCTCTTGGACATGTTGGACGCTATACAGTCCTTCATACCTGGCTCCCATCTGCTCTGACAGCTTCATCTTTCACCGCTCTCCGATTGGCACTCTGTCCCAGTCATCCTGGACTCTTTCCAGTTTGCGGCTCATCCCTGATAATTTCCCTCACTCTCTGGCCTTAGATACACCCAAGACAAGTCTGACTCTTCTACTTGGTCATTCTTCAGTTACGAGTTTAAATTTCCCTTTCTCCAGTAAGCCCTGGCCCCCAAGTCAGAATAGGTCTACATTGCTATTCATTCTACTATCTTTTTGCTTCTTGTGACACATGTCACACTCTTAATTGCTTACTTATTGACTGTCTTTCTCATTAAACTGCATACTTATTGAAGGCTGGGACCGTGTCAGTTTTGTTTGCAGCAAAAACTGCAATAATAAATAGCAGAATCTATTGTATAGAAGAAACAAAAAATATTGGCTGCATTTACTATCAAACCAAATGGCAGTAAACATTTACATTATCACTGAGTAATTCTATTAATCATTTCAGTTATTTGTCTGTAGAGCCCATTTATATCATATAATCTGACATACATTACAAAACCCAAACTAAATGGCTTATATATATGCACTTCAAAGCAGATCATAAACATTTATATACATTAAAATGGAGATATATATTCTTAAGATTGTGATTTTATAGGCAATTTGGCTTCATAATCATTTAAATGATAGAAATGTACAAAACTGTTTCCACAGTATATCCTCTTTGTTACTAATTTCTCTGCAAAATAAAAACTTGATAGAATTTCCTCTGTATTTTTTCCCAACTTCTTTATAATTGAAATACTCTCTTTATACAAAATTAATATGATTTTTCCACCATAGCAGTAATTTCTTAAGAGGAGGAACAAACTGTGAGACTTGGTACTTGGATATTTCCACTTAAGCTAGTAAGACAGAAAAGGCAGGGGAATATGACAAATGAAATTTATGCTTCATTGTCAAATAAGAGCCAAATGGTATGTTATGAGCAGCACGAATGTTTGAAGCTCAGAGATAACAGAGATTTTCAAGGAAATACATACCCCAGATATTCAAAGGTCATTTCAATTCAATCCTAAAATAATGGAGCCTAAATTATTAAATAGATTCTGTCTCAGACACCCAGAATTAGACTAGGAGCCAATTAAGTATTTAATGCTACTGGGTATCATGAACTAATTCTCCCAAACTCCAGGGACAGGTTTCATTCTAACCCAGTCCTAAAAATAAGAAGCCAGAGAACAGTCTTAGACTATTTTATTTCATCTCAGGTTATTAATTGACTTGATTCCTGCCCTTATTTGGGAGAGAGGTCAGTGGGTACAAGCTATTACAGGGTAAAAAGGCACTTGAAAATTAAAATTATGGTTTTACACGGCAATCAATGAGCGGTGTTTCTTTAGAACATTTACTTCAAAAATTAAGGCTCAATAAATATTCATGGTTCATGTTGAAAAAAAAAAAAAGACACCATTTCACTTCAGTTAAAGACCACTACCACCAAGGGCCAGGAGCACAAGTCTAATAGAGCCCAAACTTCCCGGCTATCTTGGTCTTCCAATCACATAAATCTTTCAGGTTTTGACTAGAGTGAAATTTTCAGATTTAATTTAAGTATAAACCTAACGTCCAGGATCATGGCAGAAGCCAACATCAGAGACTAGAGGACCCATGGAATCTTTACCCCACAGTTTTGAACTCATGTTAAGGGAGGGATCAGAGACTTACCTTTGCTCATTGGGAATAAGATAGGCAAATGGAAAAGTGAATATTCCTGCATATAGAAACAAACATCCTTCTCTGTGTATGTACATGTCGCTATTTCCTGTTACCAGCTTGAAGCTGCAGCTGCCAAGGTCTCTCATATTTCCTCGTTGTGACTCAAGGACTGGTGTCTTATGTTCACTCGGCTGTAAGTTTAGCTCTGCCTGCTGAGGATGCGGGCCTCATTCATCCCTTCATCTCACTCTTCAGTGCCTCCATTCCCCTTTCTTCCATCTAGGAGGAATCATATCCTCTCTTCTCAAGAACTTAAATTTTCTCTACTTCAGTTAGTTCAGCCGGCAACTTCACATGAATGCTGAACGCTGGCTTCTTAACCACATCAGTGGTTTTAGAAACATAAAACTGGCACCTTTGTCTAAACTAGGGAGTTGGCTGTCCTTGCTGGACCAGAGATTCAAGAAAAACTATGCTTTCTGTACTAGAGAAACTGTCCCAACCAAGGCTGCCAACAAGCCCCTAAAATCAAAATAAGAAGATTCTTCTGGGTTTCATCTTTCCATAATTTGGCAATGATGAGCAATTCCTTCCTCCTGGGATTCTCCCTCCTCTTAGTCTCTAGGATCACACACTCTCCTAGTTTTCCTCTAATCTCACCATGTAGTATACCATTTATTCAGTCACATGTGAAGGTGTTTCCTTCAGTGCAGAGCCCATAAAAGACCCTGAAGCATTACACTGTATCTTCTCTTTCTATCCAACACACTGTCTTACTCTTATACCATCAATCCCTAAAATAGCTAAAGACTTACTCATCTCCATGTTCAGCCCAAGACTCATTCTAGACCACCATGTTTATACACCCATTTGTCTATTCAATATTTCTGCTCAACTGTGATGCAGGAAATTCAACCTCAATATATTTAAAACAGAAGCGTTCTCCCTTTTGCACACTCTAACTTATGAAGAACACGACTTTTTCACCATCAAGTCATTAAAGGCAGAAGTATGGTAGCTATCGGGGTCTTCTCTTTGCTCTGAATCAAATCCTATTAAATCTTCCTCTTTCAACGTCCTTTGTAACTTCTCCACCTTTCTCTTTCCTTTCTGGTATTTCATACTGGCACATCTTCATGGTATCATGATGGCCAGCCTGTACTCATAAATGGTCTTTCTGCTGATTTTATCTCCCTCTAATCAAAATTTCATTAAAATCATCTTTCATAGCAGAGATTTGAACATATTATCACCAGCTGAATGCCATTTGGGGGCTTCTCTTAGCCCACTGGTTCCCAAATTTTAGCATGCTTCAATCACCTAGAAGGCTGGTTGAAACATATAGACTATTGAACCCCACCCCCCAGAAGTCCTGAATCAGTAGGTTTGGGTTGGGCCTCGGAATGAGTGTCTTTAATAAGTTACGAAGTGGCATTGTTGACATGACTGAAACTATACTTTGCAAATCACTGTGTAGCTTACAGTATACACTTCAATCCCTATAGCATCGTGTACAGGGCTTTGCCAACCCGTCTCCCCAGCCATATCTCCTTACCACCACTGTCTAGATCTGAGAAATGGGCTCCAGATGCACGACAGCGCCTCACTGCTTCTTGCCTCTTTGCCTTTGCTTGGCTATTTCTCTTCCTGTTTCCTTTCCCTTTGCCTCCGTAATTAATATCTATTCATCTTTCAAGAACCAGCTCGAGTGTCACCATCTCACTGAGGTACTCCCCTCAACTGTCTCCTCTCCCTCACTACACACACACACACACACACACACACACATACACACATTGGTAGAACTGGTTCATCCCTTACTTGGGCTTCATTTATGAACTGAGTCTACTCTCACCACAGAACATGCATCTTTTTATTGCACTCAACTGCTTGTCTTCCCCTTTAAATTCCAAGATCTTATGAGCAGAAACTCTTACGAGTATGCATACCTCCAGTAGGTAGTCGAACATCTATAAAATTATAGAAATGCAATATTTGATTATTGAATGAAAACAGATGAATACAAGAGTTAAACAACTTTAAAAGCCCACACTGTCCCACATATGTTACTCTGTACTTTCGTGCAAGGAAAACTCATAAATTGGGGGAAAAAAATCCAAGGATATTTTACCTTTTTAGTATATGAAAAATATGGAAACAAGAATCAGAGCAGATTAAACCTTCTTCTTTCTTCTACTTAATGAATATAGACACCGAGAATAATTTCGCTAATGGAACATTAGGCCATACAACTGATTACACAGCAATTCCAGAAGAATAAAGAGATTCCAGTAATTCTGCTGTGTTCTTGGCTA